GGTCATGGTCCCTGCAGGGGAATCCTTCTCTGGCAGCACTGCTCAGGGAAGCCCAGGGCAGCTGACATGGTTGAACTTGGCTGTTCTGAGTAATGATTGAACTTGATGATCTTAACAGTCTTTTCTGATCCAGTGAATTCATGATTCTGTGATTGACTGAGCCTGTGGCAGGGGTGATGGAAAACTAGATGGTCTTTATGGTCCCTTCCAACCCAAACCATTCTAGGATTCCATGATTCTATGAGACGAAATTCTCCATCAGGGCAGAGCGCATCTCCGAACCATGAAGATGGCTTGTTGGAGGAGTTGGAGGGACCTCAGTCACCCTGTCCAGCACCCCTGGGACCTCCACCCACATCCCATTACAGCTTCTGCCAGAGCTGATCCAGACTCTGACCTGTGGGCTGGTTTCCTGGTGTGATGGGGATGTCCTCTTTTTCTTCCTGAAAACTGGAAGTACAGTTTGAGGTCTGATGCTGAGAGTTTGCTTGTGCTTACTGTCATTTCACCCATCCCCACCCCACCCACCCCCCCGCCCTGGAGAAGCTCTCCTGACTTCTTGGCAGAAAGCTGAAAATACCCAAGAGGGTGAGCTGACGTTAGGATGGGATGATGCAGTTCTCTGCCTTGTGCTCATGAGCAGCTCAGTGCCGGGCTCTGCAGAAAACCTTGGTGGCACTTAGTTTAACTCTAGCACCCACATGCTAGAGGAAACAAAGAGAGCAACAGTGTCTTTTGCAATAACCAGAGCCTGGAGGGACCATGACTTCCCTTCTGTGAATTGCACTGTGGTGGTCACACACTAAAGGCTGTGTTTTGGGGGCACTCAGTGCAGGAGAAGGAGGAAGTGTTTGAGGGAGGAAAGCAATGTTGGTGATTATCTCTCTCTGTCACTCCTTCTGTTCCATTTCTCTATGAGCCTCACCTGCCAAGTGACCTTCTTCCTTTGCCTTTTCCACTCCTTTCCTTTCTTCAACAGACAGAATCATAGAATTGTCAAACAGTTTGGGTTGGAAGTGACCTTCAAAGCTCATACAGTTCAACCCCACGGAGTGAGCAAGGACGCCTTCAACTAAATCTGTTGCCCAGAACCACAGCCTGTCCTTGAATGTCTCCAGGGATGAGGCATCCACCACCTCTCTGGGCAACCTGGGCCAATGTTTTACCACCTACCTCATTGTAAAGTATTTTTTCCTCACTTTCAGCCTGAGTCTCCCTCTTTAAATTTAAAACCATCACCCCTTGTCCTGTTGCACAGATCCTGTTAAAATGTCTCTCCCCATCTTTCTTATAGGCCCCTTTGAAGAACTGAAAGGCTGCAACAAGGTCTCCTCAGAATCTTCTCTTCTGGCTGGAGACCAAGACTGGTTTCCTGGAAAAAGGAGGCATTCAGTAGGACTCTCTGGAACTATACAAGGGCAAGATCTTCAGAAAGCATCTTTGGGGCTATTTAGCAAGAATGACAGGCAGATCCCATCCGATCTCCTCCTCCTCTCTGTCTTGTGTGGCCTTCAGAGGTCCTACAGAGGGACATCCCAGGGCTTCTTTCTCAGGGAAAAGCATAAAATTAAACCTGCAAATGAGAAGACACCACATTCCTGTTGCACCTTCCTTTAACAATATTGTCATGAAGAGTCTTGAGAAGGTCTCTTAAGGCTGCTGCTTTCCAAAGCAGAATATGCAATGTCCTTGAGAGCTCTATTATGAAATGGGGTGGCACAAGTCCTCCATGGCCTGGGACTCCATCAGTCCGCTCTGCAGCTTCTGGTCCTAAACTCTGAAGAAGTTGATTCCCTTACTGAAGATCATCTCTTGCATCTTCTTCCTGCTCATGGATATGTAGAACTGGCTAAGTTTGGTTTGAATTCTAATCCTGCCCTGTAGCTTTCTTGCAGACCCTGTCAGGCTCATGTCAGGGCATCTGTAATGCATAGCCACACTCCCCATGGCCATTAAGGACACTACTGAGCAGCCTCAGGCTCAGATCAGGGATCTGAGGAACTCCTCTCAAGCACAGGAGGTAAAACCACTCGTGACCCCAGAAAGTTGGGGAACAGGCATTTAGGGACACTTGGGGCCTTCAAGTGTCACTAAAGGCATGGCTATGTCACAAACTTAGGACTTGTATGAATCTGGTATCCTCTCAGGGATGCTTTTCCTGTATCACCCATGTGCAGGAAATTCTGGGGTCCCTCCAGTTTAAAATTGCCCCAGAAGGAAGAGAAGAATCAGTGGAAATCTTATGGAAAACTTTGCCTCAGCTCCTCACCCAACAAGAAGCCAAGTACTGTGGCACCATGAAGACACTGCCAGGACCCACGTGAAAATTAGGACTTTGTCTGATCCTACTGCATATCTCCTCCTTGGGGTCTGAAACAGAGACAGAGTTATGTGACAATCCGGTGACATTTTTACCTTGTTCATAAATTCTTTCTTCTGCTCTGAGAAGTCATGGCTACTTTGACATCCTATAGCAAAGTTTTCTTTGCTAATATGAGCCCCTCAGCTTTAGACTAGAAGCTGCACAGCTCAGAGTTGACAAGGAGCAATGACAAGAGTTGACAAGGAACCCTGTGCAAGCTGCAGGTTTCCAGGTATGCAATGATGCAACAAACATGTCCCCACATCTTGGACTCTTCCTGTAGACAGGGTCTACTTTTAAACACATCAAAGGCCCACCATTACTATTTCTAGGACAGACAGTGTGATGCTAGGCTAGGTAAAGCCTTGATATAACTCTAGGTGACTCTTCCTGGATTCCTCTATGTCAACCATACTACTGTGTAGCAGAGCAGGACACAGCAGAATTGACGCTGCTTGTCAGGGGTAGGTGCAACACAGGAGGACCAACTGACACTGAGCAGGGCTCCCAGCAGCTTTCCAGTGCTGCCCACAGTGAGGAGAAAGTAATCAAAAAAATCTCATGACTTTCCTGTTTTGTATGGGAAGGATGCCAATGGACTTGGAGACAAAGTCCTTGTCCTGTCTTTTAGAGGTGGCCTGAAAGGATGATATCACGGTCTTGTGTACACAGAGTTGCACATGTGTGCTCCTCACACCACAGAAGGATGACTCTTACATCAGCAAGAGAACAGACAAAGGGGGACAAAGTCACCTCTGCAGCACAGCTCCAAGAAAGTGTCAGCAGCTTCAGACAGGATATTGCTCCAGGGCAGCCTGCTGAATCCCATGCCGACAGCTCCTAAGTGTCCCTGGGGGATAGGTGCTGTGGGAGAGCAGGGAAGACAGGTGTAGATCCCACAACAAAATCCGTGGTGCTTGGTCACAAGTGAGTGCACTCCAGCCAAATCTCTGCCACACTCATGGAAAAGCAATGGAGAAGCAAAACACAAGGAGTACGCTTCTGTACCCCTACCCCTCAAACCCATGCACGCATCAGATGTTTCAATCACACGTGGTCAGGTGAAAGATATGGGGTCATGTGAAAGAGAAGAAGCCCTCCAAACACAGATTCTTGTCCCCATCTTTGGTTCTGCTGTGTCTACAAGTGACTTTTATACACTTTGCTCTAGAAAGAGTCAGCAGAAACTCTGGTCTTTTCCCTCAAGACCAACTAAGGTGAGCAAGGCCATAAAGGTGGACCATGAGCTTTGTCTTTAGAAAAAAACAGCTCCAATAAATTACAGTTCAAAAGCAGTAGTCCAAACAACCTGTGAATGGCATGGAGTCAAGAGTGAATGCAATTAAAGAAGAGATCCTCTAGCTGAAGGGTCCTCAAAAAAGGACATTCAAGGGGTCTTTATGAGAAGCTGCTTCTTGGTGGCCTGTTAATCTTAAACAACCTGAGGTTGCTCTCAGGACATGTAGAAGCATTTGGTCATGCCTTAACAGCAGTTAGCATACACCTCAAGGGTGGTGCAAGGGCAGGCAGAGGTTTTAATCCATTTTACCAGGAGCATCTTCTTCAGCGTAGCTGTGGGTGCATTCATCTGCAACAACCTTGGACATCTGAAACACAGGTCTTTGAACAACTGAAACCTCACTGTTTACAGCGCAGTCTTTAAGAACGTAGAATGTCCTGACTACTAACAATTGAACACCCTGAGAACAGGGGAGGTAAAGGAAGAAGGGTTGGAGGCTCACTGCAGGGACCACTGTCAGACCTCTCTGTGCTCATCTGCTCTGCATGGCCACTGTGGCTGGGAGTGCCAGATGGGCAATCCCCTCTGCAAGGAGGTCAGTAACTCTTGGTGGCAGGGGATTCTAGCTGGGAAGTGGGCAGCAAGGCAGAAAAAGAGGAAGATTTTCAGGAAGAGAACCCAGGATTCCTGGCTGCCAGTCTGAGCCAGAAAAGGATGATCAGGCTCTTGTTGCACCCATCAGATCTGCCCATTCCTCCCCAGCCCCCCTGATTCTGCAGTTACTTTTACAGCTGATGTTGTCTGCAACATTCAGAAAACTCATGGAAGCATCACCAGCTGGGGTGAGATTCTTGAGCACTGGAAACACATACGCACACAGATTCGCCATCCTTGTTCACCCTGTGGGTGTCCATCCTTTCATCCTCCTCACTCTCTGGTTTAATTCCAGCAGCAGGAGGTTGAGAAGAAAACGTCTCCTCCACAATGGCCACATCCTTCTCTGACTTCGCCCAAAGGCCTCCAGCTCCATCCTGACATGGGATGTCCCACTGTGACCCCAACTCTGTCAAGGAGGGCTGTGAGGGCTCCCCAGCCATCCTCAACCACTCAGATCCTGCCAGGTTTTTCAGTAGAGGAGCAATGGGATGAGCCCCTCTGTGCACAGGGACAAAGCACTGCCAGGATGACAGCCAGATCCCCAGTAGGAGGAGAACCAATCTTCAGACCAACCCAGCTCAATTACATGCAGAAATAACTCTGAGAAATTCTCTCAGAGTGTTACTGAAGACTCTCACAATGAGAGTGAACCAGAGACTAAGAGGAAGGCTCAAACAGTGCTGCTCATTGTTCACAGACACACATTTATTAAGGCTTGGGCACAAGATGGTGCATCAGCCAGGATCCCGGCTGGCATCTCACCAGGGAATGACCTTCCCTTCCCAGCTGAGGAAGGTGCCGGTGTCCTTCTCGGAGAGGGAGGAGAGCACCTTTAGCATCCCTCGCACGCTCTCATCCACTGTCAAGGTTGGCTGCAGGGGCAGAGGGAGAAGAGTGGGGAGAGGCCAGCACAGGGCAAGGAGAGTTCCCCATCCCTCATCTGCTTCCCTCACATGCCTGCAGCTCAAGGCATCTGCCAAGGAGCTCCCCCAGAGCCCAGCATGTCTGGGACTGTTCACTGGAACCTAAATGAATTGGTTCTTCCAGACCCTGGTCAACAGCTCTCTTACCTTAAGTGATCCTGTGTCCTCTATGTTCCCCAAGTCAGTTTGCACCCATCCAGGGTGGAGAGCAACACAGAGGACACCATCTTCCTTGTACCTCAAGGACTGGCACTTGGTCAGCATGTTCAGAGCAGCCTGTGGGGAGATGCAGCAGGGACAGCATTGGAGGAAAAGGGTGGCTGTACTGAGGTCTAGGCACAAGACTGTGACCTGCAGGACCTCAGTCACAAGATGAAGAGGTGCAGGAATCAACAGAGGAGACATTGAGGGCTTGACAGTTGTTTGCTGAGAACAGAAGGTTGAACCCGTATTTACCACAGGACATACCTTGCTACAGCGGTACGAGACAATCTGTGCCATATCAAATAAAGTGACTTCCTCAATGGAGCCTCCACTGCTGGACATGTTGACGATGGCTGCCCTGCTGCAGCTCAGCAGTGAGCCTGGGCTGCCCTGGACAGCCTTCTTCAGCAAGGGCAGGAATGCCTGCAGGTCAAGGACAGCAAACAGGAATGTGCATGGAGGTGGCACAGATACAGGACCAAATTTTGCCACAGCGGTCAGCGCCGGCACCAGCACTGGAGCATCCTTCCTCCTCTTCCCACTGCCCCAGCCCACCAGGCTCCAGCTTCTGTGCTCCAGCCCACAGCTCCACAAGCTTCTCATCACATGGAGCAGGGGCAGGACCCCCTCCCACCAGTCTTTGGTGCTGCCACGGGACAGCTCAGCTTGGGCGAGGGTCTCACCTGGCCCATCAACAAGGGCCCAATCGTGTTGGTGGTGTAAACGTGGGTCATGTCCTCCAGTGTCTCCTTATCAAGTGTATTCAATATCGCCATTCCTGCATTGTTGATGAGGAGGGTGAGCCCCGAGCCCCCCAAGCGCTCTCCGACTTGGGCTGCAGCCGCTTTGATGCTGGCAGGGTCGGTGACTTCTGCAGAGCCGACACAGGGAGCTCAGACCCTCACATCCTGGCTTGGAGATGGTAGCACTGGTGTCCCCAGAGGAACGGCTGCCTCCCAGCTCTGGGTGCACAGCACCAGAGCACTCGCCAGGTCTGTGGTGCTGGGCAGAGAGGGGAACCGGGGCAGGAACCGGCTCGGGGCACCTACCGAGCGGGATGATGACCAGGTTCCGGTGCCTGGAGGCCAAACGCTGCAGCTCCTGCAGGAGAGGGGGTCGTGTGGGCATGGAAGGGCAGGAGGGGCTGCGCACAGGCTCAGCCTTCCCCAGGCACAGTTCGTGTTGCTACGGCTCCATCCCTGCTTCGCCTCGCACCCAGCTCCCTGCTCCAGCTCCTGCCGACGGATGGTGAGCGCTCCATGCCTCCTGCTCACACCAGGGGCCACTGTCCCCTCAGCACATCCCATGCACGGACAGTGCCACCGTGTCCCACCCCTGCCCTGTGCCACCGGTGCTGGAGCCCTTCCTTGGCAAAGCCCCTGCCTGCTCCAGCCTGTGCCCCGTCCCCAGCTCCCGTCCCCAGCAGCGCCCGCTGCGTCCAGCCCAGCTTCACCTGCGCCCGCTGCTCCGTGGGGGCCCGACAGGCTGCAAAGACCCACTGGGGGGGGGTTGGCATCCCCAGGAAGTGCTGGACCAGCCCCAGGCCGATGCCCCGGTTGGCCCCAGTCACCAGCACTGAGTGGATCCGAAGCCCTGCCATGCTGCTTCTCCTCTTCTGCTCCAGGTGCATTGTTTACTCAGCTCACTCATGCTGCTTTATACCATGTTCCACCCCTCCCACTATGGGCTTACACAAACTCTTGGCTCCAGGTACAACCTCTTTAGCTCTTTGAACTCTCCAGGCCCTATTTCCAGCCTGGGAGCCAGTCTCCATTATTGAAGGGCAAAAATCATTTGGTTTTCCAGGAAAGCTCAGTTGGCCTTGGCAAAGCTGCCCGATAATCCATGAGCTACTGGCCAGTCTGGCCAGGAGAGGCTGTTGTGGGTAAGGAGGGAGGGATCAGCATGTTGGAGGCATGTAACATGCCCCATGGCTCATGTAGGCTTTACAGCTTCACTAGTATCCTGTGGGCTAGATGGGCTTTCCACACTGGACCATGTTGTGCCTCGGATGTCCACCAGCAGATGTTCTTTGCCTTGTTCTTGCCTGTTCCAAGCCAATGCCCGTTACTCATTGTTGTATGAACAATCCTTTGGGTGGCACAATCCCAGTGTTTTACCGGCAGAAGGAAGTGGCCCTGCCACTTCCTTGGGCAGAAACTGTTCACACATCTCATATCTGGTGGTCATGCACTCCATCCCTTCAGGTGCAGTTCTAAGTTGAGCAGTCCCTCTGACAGCACCACAGAGGACTTAGGTGCCCAGTACATCCTCCTGCAAAGAGATATGCGTTGGCAAAGCCCTGTTCTCCACACTGCCCATACAAGGGGCACTGGCAGTTCAGTGGTATCACCAGTGAAGCCTCATCTTCCCACTGCCTCAAGTGAGGCATTACAGATGTGCAGGGCTGGGGTTTGTATGCATACACATCCTGTGTTCCTGCCCCCTGCAAGTGAAGACATATCCCCAGGAACCTCATGCCATCTCCTTGTTTTCAAGTACCAAGTCCCAGAGCCATTGCATGTGCTGCTGGGCAGCAATGGAGACACTGACACTGCTGACATGTCACCTTCTCCCCCAGGATGTCTTGACATTCGTGTTAACCTCAGGCAGGTTGCATGGTCACCACAGTGATACCAAACAGGCAGTCCTGTCCTGCCTCACACCCATCTTATATTCGGGCAGCTGCCCCAAGGGCTTAGCCATGGACATGACCTCTGGCTGCTTCTAGCTGCCACCAGCCAAATCCAAAGTAGGGGTGTAATGGGGCAAAGCCCTGTTACAGTGGAAGTATCCAGTGAGCCTCTTCTGTGTCTGATATGGAAGGGTCGTGGACCTCATGGACTGAGTCCAGAGGAGGCCATGGAGGTGGCCTTCTCCAGCAAGGGCTGGAGAAGCTCTGCCTGAAGACAGGCTGAGAGAGCTGGGCTGGTTCAGACTGGAGAAGAGAAGGCTCCTTAAGGGGAGACCTTAGAGCAGCTCCAGTGCCTAAAGGGGCTACAAGAAACCTGGAGAGGGGCTTTGGACAAGGGCCTGTAGGGACAGGACAAGGGGGAATGGCTTTAACCTGACAGAAGGGAGACTGAGATGAGATCTCGGGAAGAAGTTCTTCCCTGTGAGGGTGGTGAAGCCCTGGCACAGGTTGCCCAGAGAAGCTGTGGCTGCCCCATCCCTGGCAGTGTTCAAGGCCAGCTTGGATGGGGCTTGGAGCAACCTGGTCTAGTGGAAGGTGTCCCTGTCTGTGGCAGGGGGTTGGAACTGGATGAGCTCCAACACAAAATGTTCCATGATATGATATGTTCCTATCTTCCATCTGTGTGAGGGATCAAGCCTTCCATCCTTACCTGCCCTCCCCAGGTCATGGCTCGGGTGGTCACACTGCACATTGACTCAGCACAGGATAGGTCAGTGGTTTTTATCAAACCAGCACACTCCTCATCTAGATCTGGATGTCACAACTCTGAGAAATGTTCTCATCAATAGCCATGAGTTCTTTCAGATATATTTTTAAAACTAACTAAATGTATACAAATCTGTTCCATTCCCAAAAAGCATGTTTACCAAATAGCAGTGTCTTATAGAGAGTTTTTGCAAGTAGAGACATGACTCAAATCAGAAGGGAAAACTTCGCCTTTTAACACAGAAATTTGCTGTTTCTGCATGTTGGTGTTTAACTATCATCACCATGTAACTGTTTGAGAGAGAACTGGATTTTGCACATTCCATCACAGCCTTTCAGCAGGAGAAGCTTAATCCCCTTGATACGCCTGCTCTGCCAAGTGGACCTGGCACGCATATCCCTCTCCAGCTTGAAGGGGTTTTGCAATTCCCCCTGTACTCTGGAACAGCCCCAGTGTTCCTCTGCTCCCATAGTGAGCTTTTCAGAGGATGCTCATTTGCTCTCACACTCTTGGAGTAAAATTTACTATTTTGTTTTCTTAGTGTGAATCCTGAGATAAAGTTCAGAGCACGTGTCTGAAATGCACACAAACACACATGGATTTCTGGCACAACAAAGGTAATATAACCTTTATTTGGCAGGTGATGGCCAATTTTCCCCCTTCTGGAACCTGTGGGAAACATTCCCTGATAACATCTTCATTTAGTTCCTCTGCTGATATTTAGACTTCTCCTACAGGTACAACATCAGCACATTAAACATATATTTCACTCACTTGGACAACTTCATGTTGGGGCCAAGGCTGTTGATAAGAGGAAGGAACAGTAATGTGGTTCCTGTTCTCTGGACCCCTAAACTGGCTGAAATCACCTCTGCGGTTTGGACAGTGACTAAATCACCAGGGAACATGCGCAATGACTGGAGATGAAAAGTTCAGGGAAGACTCATTTACTTCATCTTGAGACCCTCGCCCACAACCACCAGGAGACACTACGCAAGCAAGGACCTTTTACCTCATTACAATACGAAGCGGGGATAGGTCATGAATATGTATAAGTGCGTTGTGTAATCTAATGCATATGTAATAGTTTAATAGATAGATAAGTTTAATAGATAAATATAGAGGTGAACAACGCTGGGGTGCGCATGCTTTTGGAGGAGCGATCCCCCATGCGCCTCAGCGATGAATAAAGCATACCTACTCTACAACTTGTAATGAGTTATGGAGTCTACTCGCATATCAGTTAGAAACCTCCACAGTGCCTCAGAACCAGACAGCATCAAAATAAAAGAATCAACCTCTTAAAATCTCACATTTTTGCTGTGTCACCACCATTTTGCAGCCTTATACTGTTTTAGAGTCATAAGTTCATAACACTGACTTTGGGGTCCTGTGCTGCCTTGTTGAGTTGAAACAAACACTGCTTCTCCAGGAGCTGATTCCAACCTTGTGCCAAGAGGCAGAGAAAGCAAACAGACTTGTCTGGCTCATGACCCAGTCTCTTCCCAAGTGCTGCTGCTGTCCCCAGGCCACTCGAAGGGACCTTGGACCAGCTCCAAAGAAGGGATTCAGATGGTTCTTTTGGTCTGAACCATTCTTGCAAGGTCTAAACCTTAAGCTGAGCATAAGCTTCTGTGCACTCCTCTCCTATACCTCTCAGAAAGCTGTGTTTCTTGTATGGACACTTTTCATCTCAGCACACCAGGAAGGCTCAGAAACACCTTTCCAAGGGCAGCCACACCTCCATTCTCAGATGCTGAAAGCTCCAATGCGCTCAGGCTCCTCTCAGTGTTTGCACAATGACACTCCTCCTTACAGAAGTATTGAGAAACATGTTTTTATTTGCTAGCCAGCGGGATGTGTGCTTGGCACGATTTTCTTCAGGAAATTTAATCTACCATGTAAATAAGAATAAACTCCTTTCTATTTAGCAAGCCTACTTGCTTCAGGGTATATTCAAGCTGCCTGGGACCTTGTCATAGTGGATTAGTGACTTGCTGAAGAATTAATAGCGATGAATGAACTACTAATCAAGGGGTGGGGTGCAAACGACCCACCCCTGTGACTGCTTGAACATGAGCACACACACCCTACCTGACTCATTTTCTTTTTGGCTGAAGAGGACCGGTGACACCCCATTGGGAAGGGATCATGCTGGCACTAAGGGCAAGAGCCTAAGCTTAAATGCAAGCCTCCACTTGCATGTAAGTAGGAGCCCTCATTCCCCATCAGACTGAGGAGGTCCCAAGAAAGTCTTCTCATGGCACTGTTTCAGAGCTCCCAGTAGAGTGATCTGGATTACACCTGCATTATGTCACTGTATATTCTTTGAGCCCAGGAGCCCAAACCACTGAGGACAGATGCAAAGCACTCAGGACCCTGGCAGAGCACTGCTGTCTTAACATTAGAAGAAGGCAATGCTGAGGCAGATTTCCAAGCAGCCTCTGCCCAGTGCAGAGGACAGCTACAGGAACTCTTGGCTTTTATAGGACCTAGATCAATCTGTGGGGACCCACGTGCCACTTGTGGCTACCTCAGGCAGGGAGTAAAGACACTCCTCTTTTCCCAAGTTTATGCCAGCTTCTCTGGTCCAGACTCCAGTGAATCCCACCAAAGTCCCTGAGCCAGGGTTTTCCTCTAAGCAAAGCTTTCCCAAAGACCTTAAACCAGCTCATTAGAAATAGGAGGCACAGAGGCTTAGATGGGAGCTCGGTGGATAATTAGTGGTGGTGGGAATTGAACATGATGCCAAGAGTGGCAAAAAGTGCAGAAAACACCTTCACTCCCCACACTCATTCAGGACACCCAGGGACAAGCGGGTAGAGCAGGATGGGGAGACTCTACCTGTGGGATAGAGCACAGAGAAGCCAGTTTTCCTTTAATGCTGCTGGTCTTGGATAGGGTGGAGGGGTACAACCACCTCCTGCCCAGAACAGAAATCCCTATCATAGCTGAGCTGGTGGTGGAAGCAAAAAATGTTGACCAAGGAACTATTCATAGTCCAAGAAAACAACAGATTCAAACTGAGTTTCAGAGCTTGATTCAGTTGCCCAAAGACAGACACTGGCTAAATGACTGTGGAATTCTTCTAAGGTACTGGACTGTACTGGTGCCGTTTTAGGACTGTCAGGAAAGGTACATAGAGAAAGTGTGGAGAAAGAGGCTTCCCTGCAAAGTCTCTATTAGCATCTCTTTAAAGAGATGGCTCCAGCCAGGTCTCTGCACACTGGTTTCACAGGAGCTGGTGTCTCATTGCAAGGAAGGAGTAATGAAAGCAAAGGTGGTTTGGG